GCAGTTGCCACGTAGCACTACAAAAAAGGCATGGCCAAAAAACATGTTCGGATAAAAGAGAGAGTTGACATGTGCTCACAAGCACACTAGTGCAGTTGCCATGTACAGAGAAAGAGTTGCCATCTGCTTACGTGCATGCTAGGGCAGTTGCCATGTACCATGCAAAAACACATGGCAACTCGGGGAAAAAATAGAGTTGCCATATGTTTACAAGCAAAGCTAGGGCAGTTGCCATGTATCCTGCAGAAATATATGGCAACTGACAGCTTTGGGTGTGGGCGAGGAGACGGGCGTGTGGGCGAAGTGATAAACGCCCACACACCAGCCCCTCTGCGTGGGTGAAAACTGGTGTGTGGGTGAATTGCTAAACGCCCACACACCAGCCCCCCGTGTGGTGAAAAAAGACGCGTGGGCGACCGGATGAATGTCCACACACCAGCCCAGTCCAACGTGGCATCATAAACATACCAAGATTCGTGTACCCACAAACGGACGCGGATCCATGCGTGTGGGCGAGATGCAAACGCCCACACATGTGGGCGTTAGTGTTTCCGAACTTTTTTTTTGGCACCCGTCCGGTCCGCCTTGTCTTCTGGTGCTTATCAATATTTTTTTTGAAAGATCCAGCGTTGCTGGCTTTTCATTGTCTTAGCAGAAAAGAGAGCTTACAAAAAGGATGATCAAGCGATCAGGGTCTGAGCGCGCGGTAGGGGAGGGCACATAGGCCGCAAGCCACCTCCTCCAAAGAAACAGAAAAAATATAGGCATGGGTTTACTCCTCACGTAACATCCCCGAACGGGGCCTCTATGTCGCTGGCTCCGGCGAGCCGCCATTGCTCGATGTCTCTCGGCCAGGCTGCAAGAATGTCACGCCAACTCGACGATTTACCTTTGAATGTGCAACTGTTACGCTCCTTCCAGATTTGCCAGGCCAGCAGCGCGATCATTGTCTTGATGCCCTTTCTGTCATGAGATGCCGCGGTATTGACGATCATGGTCACCTTCTCGGTGGTGGTCGCGCAGGCTTCCCAGGTGCTTGGGGAGAGCGCAGCACAACCGTGCCAGGTGGCCGCCGTTGTCCAGGCTTGGCGTGAAGTTGGGCATTCCCAGAGGAGGTGGAAGGAGGATTCTAAGTTTCTGTTGCAGAGCTGACAGAAATATCCGTTGACCCACCCTCTGCGCTGCAGGCGATCGTTGCACCAGAGGCGATTAAGGTGGAGTAGCCAGAAGGAAAACTTGACCTTTCCCGGCGCCCAGATCTTCCATATGAGTTGACGCAACTGCTCCCTCGGTTCGTCTGGGAATTGGATGTTGTAGGCTGCTCTCGCTGTGTATTGGCCTCCCGTCTTCCATCTGATCACGTCAGCCACCCCTTCTCGGAGTATCAGGTTGGCCTCGCTGATCCGGTGCCATAGTAGGATGACCTGGGGGATGATTTCCATAGTGTCGTCGTGCCTCGGATCGATCACCCATCTGTCTCCATGCAGGGCCTCCGCCACCATGCGGTTTTTCCTGACGGAGCGGCCGAACAGCAGCGGGAAGGCCCGGCAGAGCGGCAGCTCGCCCAGCCATAGGCAGTGCCAGAAGAGGGCCCAGTTCCCGTCGCCCACCTCCACCTTTGTGGCCGAGGCAAAGAGAGTCCGGTCTTTGTCATCGCATGGTGATCCTGGGCCCACCCACGGCCGCGCTGGGTCGGTCCATGCCAGCCAGAGCCAGTGGAGCTGAAGCGCGCGCGCAAACCGCTCCATGTCCGGGATCCCGAGGCCGCCGCGGTCGACCGGCGACGTGACTGTCCGCCAGTTAACCTTGCACTTCCCGTCGGTGATCTCCTCGTCTTGGGCCCATAGGAAGCGTCGTCGAGCCTTGTCCACGTCTTTGAAGAATTTCTTTGGGATGCGTAGGCCGGCCATCACGAAGGCGGGAAGCGCTGTCAGCACACACCGAACGAGCACATGCCGCCCTGCGATGGGCATGAGCCGCCCCTTCCATGCTGCCAGCCGTGCGCGAACGCGATCGAGGAGGTACTGAATGTGGACTAGCCAGTTTGCCCGCGCAGAGGGGGAGTCCTAGATATCTGATTGGGAAACCTACACTCTTGTCGCCGAACTTTCTCAGGACGTCGACTAGATCTACGTTGTCGCAGTTGAGCGTCGCCACTGATGATTTCTGAGGGTTGCAGTGCAGTCCCGTGGCGTCCCCGAACCCTTTCAGAATTTGCATGATGATGTCAACCTCCTGCCGCTCTGGGTTGGCGAAGAGGATGGCGTCGTCGGTGTAGAGCGTGACCCGCAGACGTGCCGCTCTGACTGGCAGCGGGGTTAGGATGTCGGCCGTCTGCGCCGCCTCCAGCAGCCGGTGAAGGGGGTCGATCGCCAGGACGAAGAGGAGTGGTGCTTATCAATATCAACGAGCTTTCTGAGTATTCACAGTTCGATGTCGTTGAGAATGTCAAACTCGCATTGACTTGCTGGTGTCGAAGTTTGAGATAGTCGAGCCAAGTTTTGGAGTACATAACGACATGTACCAAGGTTTTATGACCTTGTATTGCACATTTGTACCGTCAGAGAGAGTGTTAATCTCTCATGCCTTCTGAGTATGTACCACGTCGTGCCCAGTTTGATACCCCAAGTTCCCAACGTCACGTCTGTGTAAGCTCATGCAGGGTCGATTGGCGGGATCTCTCATCTTCCCGGCATTCATCCCAGTCAAATCAGCAAGATTACAGAAAGGGCAGGTCGATCTAAAGATTTTTTTACCTTTTGGGTCATCCATCCAGTAAATCAATCACCTAAACTAAGTTTACACAGGCCTAGAAAAACTCGGTATGTGCGGCTAACAAGCAAGGCGGACAGAGCAATAATCAAGATCTGCGTGCGTTCCACAAAGAACCAATCCATCGAGGGACTAGGTTAATTAAGCTAGTGTCAGGAGATATTTCCGAGGAATAGAATCATGATGAACATTAGTACGTGCTACGGCTCTGTCTTTGCACCACTACACAACGGCACATTGGAAGGCTCAGCAGCAAAGAAGGGTCCGAAAGAAATGGTAGAACATATCCGAGAGAACCTCGCATCTTAGCAACAGAGAAAGCCGAACGAATAAAACCGCAGGGAAAAGCCGGAAGGGAAGCGAGGCCAAAGGATATTGGCAACGATCGTATCGTATGCAGGCAATCTTCTGAAACGTCCATGTCGGAATCCCTTGAGGCCTTGAGCTGTCGACCGAGCATCAGATGCCTCCATATCTTTTCTTCGCCTACCGGGAAAACATGGATTAACCTTGTGCTTGCCAATCAGGGACTGATTGGTGAGGGTGTGTCTGCTGGTGAAGATGAATTTCTCCATCCAATGGCCTTGGATCGGGCAACATCGAGGTGCCACCGGCTCTGATTGGTATTGCATGTCAAAGACTGGTTGCTGGGGATTTTTCTTCAATGGACATAACATAACCGCCTCTGTTTTCGCAGTCTCACAAAGAGAAGCCCCAAATGCCTGCAATCATGTTCTTTAATCTTCGTTTTTGTCCCTTCTAAGTGAGCCTCTAAACACTCTATTACAACTTTAAACTTTGCATCTGATTCTTCCAAAAACAAAGTATATCTCCCACCACTACTCTGGTAGTATGGGTTGAGGTTATTGTATGTATGAAGTGCAATAATAGTGTAGTAAGTCCAAAATTCACAAGGCGGCTATTATTTGTACTCCCTCCGTCCCAAAATTCTTGTCTTAGATTTGTCTAGATACGGAAGTACCGTCCCAAAATTCTTGTCTTAGATTTGTCTAGATACTGAAGTACCGTCCCAAAATTCTTGTTTTAGATTTGTCTAGATACGGAAGTATAGGTCAACCTTTACAACTCTTTTCGTAGAAAAATATAGTTATTGAGCATGCTTCTACATATATCACAAAATATCAAACTTCAAATATGACCAAATACAAAAAGAACGTTAAATAGTACTCCCTTTGTCCGTATCTAACACTAAATCTAAGGCAAGTAATTCAGGGTGGAGGTAATACTAGCATCACTCTATATTTGTTGATTTTAGTTATTTTTTGTTAGACGAATATCCAATTCTGAGCCGGGGTCATCTGCATCTGGTGAATAGTAAATTCAAAAAGAAATACTACAAAAATCTGAAAAAAAAACAATTCATGGAAGATATTTGAGTGTGCGAGGTGCGTGCCAAATCTCAAAACATTTGCACATCTGAGTAACTCTCAACAAAAAAAAACTGAGTCCAAACAGTAAATTTTTTCACAAACCTTAAATTTTTCCTTTTTGCTGAGAGCTACTCAGACATCCAAATACTCTGAAATTTGGCGCGGAAACCACGCACACAGTCATCTTTTACACAATTTTTTTGGAATTTTTTGAATTTATTTCATTTTTTAACGATTTCTTTTTTCACTCTCGGGCTCACCTCCACAACGCCTCATTGTTAGATTTGTCCTTTTGTTTCTCAAGCTGTGAGCCATACTTAGATCTGAAATTTTGTCACGGCAATTGTACGTTATGTCTATTTCATGATTTGGCGTATGATGTCTTTGTTTTATTTTCATAAAAGTAGCTTTATTGTTGCACAATGCTCACGAATATATATGTGCCTCGAGAATCAAACAGGTGTCGAGGACGATGCCCCCATCTGAATGGGCAATGCTAGACTTATGTAGGGAAGCTACTTATGTTTACGTAACAGCCAACGTGGAAGATTAGGATTGGTTTTTAGGGGAGGGTGGGGCCCACCCCTGAAAATCAGGGGATGTTTAGTTTGGCATGTTTCGTAAGCTTACGTAGGCACTTTGTAGGTTTAGCATTTTCGCATCTGAATTTACACCCTGTGTTTGCTTGCAAACTGGAATCTTATTTGCCACAAGCAGCGCTCCTACGCCTATACATACATGTATAGCGCATTCCTCTCCTTCTCAGCTTGAAACCACCACCACGATTACCACCTAGCACGAAGCACTGCAAAGTCCGGCTTGCTTCAGTTCACCGGCATGGCGTACCGAGTGCTGGAGGTCACCCTCCTGTCAGCCAAGGACCTGAAGAGCGTGAACCTCATCACGCGCATGGAGGTGTACGCGGTGGCGACCATCTCCGGCGACCCGATCACTCGCCAGTGCACCCCGCCGGACCCCCACGGCGGCCGCAACCCGACCTGGAACGCCACGCTCCAGTTCGCCGTGCCGCCCACCGCCGAGGAGGCCACGGGCGGCTGCCTCCACATCCTCCTCCGCGTCGAGCGCATCTTCGGCGGCGACCGCGACGTCGGCGAGGTCATCGTGCCCCTGTCCGAGATCCTCACCGGCGTCGGGCACGGCGCCGACTACGGCGCCCACAGCATGCCACAGTTCGCGTCCTACCAGATCCGCAAGGTGCACCGCACCGAGGTGCGCGGCCTGCTCTACCTCACGTATCGTCTCGGCCCCATCGTGCTGCCGGAGCCCCATCTGGAGGTACCCGTCGACGAGTGGCCGGTCGTGGCGTACCCGGCGAAGCAGGTGATGCCGCCGCCGCCGCCTCCACCGCAGGCTGCCTGGCCCGGGTATGTGGCCGCGGCACCGCCGGCAAAACCACCTGCCGGCTACGTGGCTGTGCCACCGCCTCCACCTGCAAAGCCAGCCGGCTACATGGATGTGCCGTTTTCGCCTGAGAAAGCACCCGGGCATACGGCCTGGCCGTCTCCAATACCTTACTGGTACGGGTCCGCGCCATCACCTGCAAAGCAAGAAGGGCATGCCGCCGTGCCGCCGTCTCCGAAACCTTCTGGGTACGGGACCGCGCCATCGCCTGCAAAGCACGAAGGGCATGTCGCCGTGCCGCCGTCTCCTCATCCTTATGGGTACGGGAGCGCGCCATCGCCGGCAAAGCAAGAAGGACATGTCACCGTGCCGCCGTCTCCGAAACCTTCTGGGTACGGGGCCGCGCCGTCGCCTGCAAAGCAAGAAGGACATGTCGCCGTGCCGCCGTCTCCAAAGCCAGCCGGCGGACATGTCGCCGTGCCACCGTCTCCTGAACCATCCGGTCGGGTGGTGTCCATGCCGCCTTCTTCAAAACCAGTCGGGCGTGTGGTGTCTATGCCACCGTCTACTCCGAAACCATCAGGTCAGGTGACGTCCATGCCACCTTCTCCAAAGCCAGTGGAACGTGCGGTGTCCATGCCGCCGTCTCAGAAACCGGTCGAACGTGTGGTGTCCATGCCGCCGTCTCAGAAACCGGCCGGGCCTGCGGTGTCCATGCCGCCGGCTCCGAAACCGGTCGACCGTGTGGTTTCCATGCCGCCGTCTCAGAAACCGGCCGGGCATGTGGTGTCCATGCCGCCGGCTCCGAAACCGGTCGACCGTGTGGTTTCCATGCCGCCGTCTCAGAAACCGGCCGGGCATGTGGTGTCCATGCCGCCGGCTCCGAAACCAGTTGAACGTGTGG